TTGGATAAGTACTTTATTTCTTGTTTTTCATATTTATTCTTTATTTATTATTACAAAAGTAACTAAAATTAAAAGTACGGATCTTTTTAAGTTATTTAATACCAGATTGGGTAAAATAAGTAATAATAATAATAATAGTATAATTAAAATGGTTCACATAGCATGCACGCGAGCAGCTCGTGAGTAATGTAATTCGATGGCTTAACGTGAGGTGCACGTTCTCTGAGTGATTTACAACTTATAATGACGCAGATAGTAGTTAGACACGGTTCAAAGGGCAATAAAACAATAACATTTAATTATAAGTAGATGTATAATGTTACGGACTTAGAGCTACTTAGGATAAACGAATGTAGTTTCAAGTTAGAATTTGAAGTCATTCTAGAAAGAAAAGAAGGTTAATTTAGGTTTATTTTTTGGTGACTACGAGGTCGGTCGAATTGAACGATCCCGTTTTGAAATAGGGTAGAGAAAATAACATATAAACTATGAGGTTTTAGTGAAATGAAACGTTTGAAATGCATTTAAGAGGTTTTAGGGATTACACAAAGGAAATTTGAGATTTTTCAGATGACAAATAGTATTTTTAATTTTAACATGAAAATTACTTTGCACACATACTATTCTAAACTAATACTCAATATATTCATGGACAAATATTTATTTTATTTCATTAAGAAATATGATTGTTTGTGTGTGAAAGACTTGTAATATTAACTAAAATACTGCAAATTTCGTGAATATATACCCAATATATTGAGAGTCATAAGTATTAAATCTATATCAACTTTAAACGAGTACAAAAGGTCACGTGACTCGGTCAAATTGACCGACCTCGAGTTGAGATAGATAAACCATCCTCTTCAACACTTACAGAAACATTAAGTCAACATAATTGGTCTATTGTTAAAAAGAGACTTTGTATCCTTTCCAGGCCTTAACTAAAGGAATTACAATAGCCCTATTCCAAGTATCTAGAAAATCATCGTCCTTCCAAATCCAGTTTAAAAAAACAACAGAAGAAAAGCAAGAAACGTAGGAGAAAATGGTGTAGCATCTTATAATGAATATTAGCTGTAACAACCAATATGTTACCAAATCAATGAAGAGTGATCTATAGTTCCACAAGTGTGAATGGTCAATTATAATCATAGAAACAATTGGCTCAAAAGACAGTGGGGATCTTTCAGCTCATTACATGATGACTAAAAAGATAGGGAGAGAGATGGAAGTGCTCGAATTGTGATAAAAGCACTCCCCAAGAGTGCTGGAGATACAATGTATATAAACAACCTCTTGGTTATTCAAATGCAAGATTGAAAGAGGATGAGTGGCTAACTTTTCACAAAGCTTTCGAACTTTTTCGAGAATTATCTTGGAACTGGTGGTTGTAGAGATACTTGAACTGAAATTAATCCAATATTCTTTATCGCTTTGACATCTAACCTGCCATTCATAGGAACAAGTCTCTTAAAAGGTCGTGCAGTTGTCAAGAGTGGGATATCTGCAAATGATATGTCAGATCCTTTCCTGAGTGGTTTGTGCCTGTCAGCATCAGTTCTTCACAATGGGAAAGGATACCATAACAAACATTGAGATTTATGAATCATATAAGCATCTGCCTGGAAAATATAACCAGTATCTACCTCCATGCAATCATTAATAGTGAGGAGATTAACAACAGCAGGTTCAAGTTCTGGAAGAGTGGTGAAGACGAACCAGTCAGCTTGTTCCAGCTTCCACCATGGCACACTAGTCAGGTGGCATCGACCATGGTTGACCTCCTTCAGAATGATGGGTAAATTATCAATGCCCTGTGGGGTCACTGTCTACCCTCCAGGAAAACAAGGAAAAAAGTAGGAGCAAATAGATAGATTAATAGATCTATGAATATATATATATATATATATATATGAACCAGTATCGAAAAGAGAGAGAGAGATTATGACCTGAGAATATACACTCCACAGAACGACCCCTCCCATCCATATTAGTACCACCACACAGTGGATTGTGTTAATTAAACTCACCAAAGATAAAGAAATGAGTTCTCAGCTGTAAAATAAGAGCATCAAGGTCTGTTTGATCATAATAGTCTTCTGGTGATAGGTAAAGAGAACAAACTGTTATGGTACGACCTATGGAGACATGAATAGCGAGAGCCATCAGTGGTGTATTGAGTGACACAGACATGGTGGGTGCATGCTGGTCAACCAGCAATTCTACACCACCATGAACTCGTCCATCACAAAACCTGTTTTTCCTGTATAAGGAAAGTTGCTAAAAGATGACAGCATTAGCAGATCTTTAGAATGTTTTCTGTAAAGAGAGACAAACAAGATGATATGGATAAATCAAGACGTTAATGTAATCTAAATTAGAATGGAAACTGTATCAAAGTGGACATTTTTATTTGGAAGGATTAGAAGAACTGGTTTTAGAGCCTTTTTGGTTTTGACCATGCCATTCTTGTTTATTAGAATGTGGTTTATCGATCTCCATGATCCTGCCCTGGATCAATGGGCTAGGTTCCTGTTAGAAGGATGAAACTCTAGTGAGTGAGTGTGTGGCTGAATGGTGGTCCTGCTCCTTAAGATCAATGGTTTGTTTGTTATTAAGCACAAAGCTACATAATGAACTAAATTTTTTGTGCCAACCACGGCACCAAAATCCAGTTTTAAGCATTATAAGCCTTTAGACTTACCACTAAGCCACTGATGGCCAGGGACTGATAGATATGGCCTAAGCGCTTACTGGATGATGCAGTAGGGATGGAAAAAAGAGTACACGTATACTTGTCAACTTGTGTATCCATGGAGGGTAAAAGAGCCTTCACATGGTGAGAGAAAGACTGCGTGGCTGAGGAATGGAGTGAAACAGCAGTAGGAAAAGGGGAGAACAACTTCCACACCTCAGAATAGGAAATGTTGTTGATGGTTCATAATTGCTGTACCTTTTTCTCTTCCACCAATTTAGGACACGAATGAGAGTAGGAAAGGTGGGAACCACTACAGTTAACACAATATGGGTCCAAATGACACTATTAGCTATTGAGGAATTCAAAGTAGCATTAGAAGTAACCTCAATAAGCATACCCCTAATGGCTTTCGACTTCAAGAAGCATTCATCATCTTGTGGTCGAGATGCTTTAATCAAGATGTGCCCAGAACGTAGCTTCTTGACAGACTTTGGTGAGCAAGCAAGCCACTCTAATCCCTTCTTAATAAAAAAAAAATATTTTTCTGGTAAAGAATGTAGAATAATAAACCTAGATACAGGAACGTTAGGAAATAGTGACTATCGTACAGAGTCTTACATTCGTGATAGTTTTCCAATTATAGTTTTTTTTTGCATTTTCATTTTTTGGATTATCAATAAAAAAAAGAGAAATATTCATTACTCACTGACCCATCCACAAAGATAGGTGCTATATAGTCAAACTAGGATAGTGCAGCTACACTAATGCTTCATAGGTGCTATAAACACACTCCAACACCAGACATAATGTTCATAACACCTGTTGAGAACGTCCAACACTAGCAATCAGTTTCCACTAGCCCCATAAAACCAGTTGCCTGATCTTAGGGTGGGGTATACCAGTGCCACCTGTCTACAGGAATTTAAGGCCAAACTGGTGTGTTGCAGTGCCCCTGACATCACGCAACCACCGAGATCCTCTCCTCCCCTTCACAGGTTGTCACATATAGCAAACACGTGGGTGGATGTTTGGACCCCAGAGTAGGTCCCCTCACCATGTACAAGAATCCACATCGAGGAGTTTTTAAGTTCTACAAGTAAAAATCATCCTATTGCATATGTTCCACATTTGATTTTAAGTTTCCTAAGCAACATCTTCATATTATTAAGTAGTTATGAAATTTGTTTTCAGGGTGTATAAGGAGTTTTCCACATTTGCTTCAATATTCCATGAGTATCATCAATAAAGCGATTTCCACAGTTTGTTTCCTGACTCTATAAGGAATATTGTCATGTTATATAACTGTTCTCACGTTTACCCACATTGTGTAAGCAAGATGGTTTCAGGTTCCATAAGGAACATTGTCGTCTTATAAATAGGTTTCAATATTGTGATTCAAGTTCTATAATCAATGTCATCTTAATAATTATTTCAAATTTGATTTTTAGTTCTATAAGCAACACTGTCTTCTTATGAAGTGTTCCCACCTTTTTTTCACGTTCTGTGAGCGAGATTATCATCTTACGAATGGTATCAGTATCTGGTTTCAGGTTATGTGAGCGAAATTGTCATCTTGCGAATTTGTTTCTAGTTTCAGATTCTGTTAATGAAATCTTCATCTTGTGGATTGGTTTCCATCTTTATTTTCAGATTTTGTGTGTAACGCCACTGTCTCGTTTCAGGTTCTGTGAGGGAATTGTTGTGTTGGAAAGTAGTTCCATGGTCTCTTTTCAGACCTTGTAAGTACAATTGTCATTTCACTCAGTAGTTTTTATGTATTGTTTCAGATTGTGGGAGCAGCAACTTCTTACAAAGTAATTTCCACATCTGTTTTCAGGTTCTATAAACAACATAAATGACGGAACATATCGGTGTCCTAATGGCTCTAATCCACTCATTCGTCAAAAAGTAGTCTCTGGAGTACTAGGGGCAGCCTCTAGTGTCACATCTATCCAAGTGGCTAATCTACTGCGACTTTTCAAGATACCACAAGTGAGTAATTTTCTGTACTTAAGTTCTAATTCATTATACTTTTTGTAAGACATCTTGAGTGGATCTGTATGCACATAAAAAGGGGCAACATTAAGTAAATTCTGTATTCGCGATAGAGTAACAGACAGGCCAGAAGTACTAAGTAAGGTGCTTGTTAGCGTCGTTGTAAATAAAACACTGTATATTATTTACCCTACAGTAACTAATATACTGCAATATTTAGTAAGCTGCTTGTGTGCACAAGGGTAATTACATTACCTAAAAAGCTGAAGAAGCGTTGTACCAACACTAGGATTATCAGAATACTGAGAAACCTGTGCATTTGTTTTATGGTTATTTTTAGATTGATGATACTGAGTAAGCTCTCTATTAGGGTAAGGGTAAATAGATTTTGTTTGGTTGGTTGTTTTTTTAATTTCGCGCAAAGCTACATGAGGGCTATCTGCGCTAGCCGTCCCTAATTTAGCAGTGTAAGACTAGAGGGAAGGCAGCTAGTTATCACCACCCACCGCCGACTCTTGGGCTACTCTTTTACCAACGAATAGTGGGATTGATCGTCACATTATAACGCCCCCACGACTGAAAGGGCGAGCATTTTTGGTGTGACGGGGATTCGAACCCGCGACCCTCAGATTGGGGTAAATAGAATATTAATAACATTAGACAAATTCAGCATTAGCGCAAGTGTAACTAACAAAACAGGAATATTGAGTAGTATTTGTATTATAGTGTTAGGTTAAGTAGAATACATAGCATATTGAGCAAACTCTGTACTAGCACTGTGGTAATTCATAAACTAAGATTGCTGAGTAAGCTCTGCTTTTGGCAATAGGGTAATTATAATATTACTTATATTGGGTAAGTTTGTACTATTCTAGAGTTTCTAAAATAATGAATAGCTGAGAATTAGCGATTAGGTAACTAGAATTCTAAGAATATTGAGTAAGTTCTGTATTTGGGTAAGCTCTGTATTAGTGAATAGAATACGGAGACTAACTAATAATTTGCCTTTAATTAAAGTTAAACCTACATTTACCTCAAAGTGTAAAACATAAGATAAATTTCTATAACTGAAATTATCAATGCATAAGTTGCAGATTTACTTACATGTCGACGACATTCCTTTGAATCTAGGCTTACATTGTTGTTTAATTTATGCAGCATTAACACAACCAACAAAGTGTTAAAATGCTAAAAAATAATCAATCTCTTATATTTCCCGTTACTGTAACTAAAAGGGAAAATATAACTGTGGAATAAATAAATGCGAGTTGAATGCTCTAATCATAGACCATGTCAGGCCTTCCATCCCTTTGTGGGTATAAAGGAATCAACTACATTCTAGAATAAAAAGAACAGAAACCAAACGACGCCATTTTATTATTTAAGTAGCAGACTGTTTGCTGAACTCCCCAGTAGCTCGGAGGTAATTCTGAAGGCTTATAACGCTAAAAATGCAGTTTCAATACTCGTTGTGGGCACAGTACAGATAGCCCATTGTGTAGCTTTGTGCTTAATAAACAAACATACAGATATGATCTCGTTCAAAATTGGTCTTAATTGAAATTTTTGAATAACTGAAGTGGACTGTAACGTCAGATATACATATTTCAATATGTTCGATCGATCACATAGGTTTTATTTGCCATGTTCGTTTACACGTACCTCCAACCATCTTGCATAAAATCAATACATCTTTCAGACTACAAGGCTCTACCACCAAATGGAGCATTTAGGGAATGTCGACCACACTTTAAAATAATTACTGCATTCATGCAACTGCTGATTGCAATTTAAAATTACTAAAACAACTACAGAGGATCCAATCACTCTTTAAAAATAATAATTATATTGACAACAGTTCCGATGTTACTTTATTGCCTTGTTTACATATTTACCAATTACTCTTCAAAATAATTACCACAACTATGAAACTGCACACTACCTTTATGATAATTTGTTTCTAATTTTAAGCAAAATCTGGTGATTTAATGTAGTGTTAAAAGCAGCTTCTGAGTGAGGGGTTATATTAGTGATTCTTTACCACAAGTATTTTGAGTGTGTTATATTAAAACAATTTTGGAGATTCGCCACATCATTACAGTCAGTATTGCTTCGTCCATCATGCTCTATCTGATTACTACACATCTTATCTCTGCAGCACAGAGCGCCGTTGTAAGGCTGACATGTTAGAAACATATCACTCTTCCTTACAAGCTTTCCAAAATCTATCTTTTGTACGAGGATGACGGTTTCTCAGCGCTAGTTTCAACAGACTGATTGTACAGAAAACCGATATGTCTTTGTGTGGAATAGCATGAATATCCATGTGGTTCATATATTGTTACCTTTTTTACTTTTACACATACAGAATACTCATTATTACTTTCTCCTTCATACTAATCTGTGGTGTTCTTTTCACACAAGCCCTTCATGTGCCTATCTCCTTGCTACTTGAATGTAGTTGTTTAAATATTTGTTTAACAACAAGTAAAAGCTTGGAATGGTCTATTCTTTCACTGACTAGTTTCGGAGAATTTCCCTCCACATCAGTGACCCTGGACACCACCACCAATGAAATATTAGACCAAACCAAGCGTATAGAGTAGTGAGGTATTGATAAACGAAATGGTGTATTTAAATGTTTTACACTCACAAAAAAGAT